TTTATAATTATTATAATTTATAATTTTATTATAATTCCTATAATTCTGTCTTATTCTAAAGGAAACCTTCTTAAATGTCGATTCCCTGTCTTTAAACAATATATGTCCTTATGGTGACATTACTAGCACTTTATTATGTTAACTATAACGTTAAGAAAACAACATTCCTACCATCTTCAGTATTTTAACAAGATCATCAGTGGAAATATTAAGGTTGGAATAACAAGATTCATTGTATTTTATTTCAGTGAATAGTATATAAATTGGCATCAGTGCCTCTAAGAACTTTATAAATATAGGTGAATTATATGTATGACATCATGACTTTTTTACTGACTTAGATATTTTTACTAGAGAAAGCAAAGCAAGCAAGGCTGATAAGAAAGAACTCCTTGGGTTCACATAAATTACTCAGTTACCTCCAATTTTTTGTTTGAGACAGAGAACAAATATTTCATATTTCTGCCTGTTTCCAGTCCTAAAGGTGAGGAAAGGTGAGGTGCTTTCATCTATTAAATTGTATAACCTATCTTGTATCTCCATACTTAGAATGCCTTTATGTGGACTGTCTATTATGGACATAGGGGAGCTCTTCTGGGCACGGAAGTAACCATGCTAGGTGTCATTACACAAGGAGGCAAAGCATATCAGAAACAGAATGCCATGGACTGCTAAGTGTTAGGAGTCTTTACTCATATAACGTTTTGGATAAATAACGACATGAAATAGAAACGTGAGCATTGTTAAGATGGTTGCAACATTTCCACACTGGCTGATGGCAAAGCAGTTTCAAATAGTGTCAAATTCTAATTAACGAGGTGGGGGAGCTTCTAGTCTTCTTGCTTGCTACCTGATTCCCACTAGATCTTGAAAAGGTTGTCTAGTTCTCGAACGTATCCAGCTCAACACTGACAGTAGCTCTGGAATTCTAAGGATGTTTTCTAAGAGGACTGATGTTTGCCCTGACCCACTGAGCTGTCACAGAAGTTCTTAGAGCCGTCCTGGTCTGAATTGTTTCTTCACCGCTGCACAGAAACTGTTCTTAGTAGTTCAGCATGTGCACTAACAAAAAATAATAATTGTTTTATTAAAGAACTTGAGAATTTTTTTTTAAAGATTTTATTTATTTATTTGAGAGAGAGAATGAGATAGAGAGAGCATGAGAGGGGGAGGGTCAGAGGGAGAAGCAGACTCCCTGCTGAGCAGGGAGCCCGATGCGGGACTCGATCCCGGGACTCCAGGACCATGACCCGAGCCGAAGGCAGTCGCTTAACCAACTGAGCCACCCAGGCACCCGAGAATTTTATTATAAAGAAATTTCATATGTTTAACCACAGTAAAGAAAATTTTTCCAAATAGTATACGATTTAGATTTAACAACTAACAGAATTTAGAATGTGGAGGTTAGGATTATTGATAAGCATGTTGTAATTTCACCTGTAGTGAAGACTGACTGTATTATTTACCCTATATAAGAAAAAAAGTCTTTAAAGTAAAAAAACAAAACAAAACAAAACAAAACAAAAAAACCAAAACAAACAACAACAACAAAACCCAACACACAATTTATGTTATCATCTTGGATTATTTATATAATTCAGACAAACATATATGATGTGCACCTCCATCAATAAATTCAATTTTAACATGTAGCTATTGAAAGGTAAATTAAGGCTTCTCTTAAAAATGTTGACTCAAAATTAGAAAAAGAAAGCTGCTCTTTGAGGGGAGCCTGACTGGCTCAGTGGGAAGAGCATACAACGCTTGATCTCTGGGTTGTGAGTTCAAGCCCAGCATTGGGTGTAGAGATAGCTTAAAAATAAAAAAAAAATCTGCTCTTTGAATTACCTAGACTTAAAACTAGTGATTTTTATGACCTGTCACTGACCTGTCACATTATCGCTATTTTTTGAATCCTTGCCCTTTATAAACTCTGCCCCCTCTCTTACTTTTCAAATTCCCACAAGTGTCCAACCATGTAGTCATAAAATCTTACATTTTATATTTTGCAACATCTCTTCATTGCCACAACCTGTTTTGATCCTCACAGAAGCTGCTCCAGTGAAGGACCTTGTTCTATCTTAGAGGGGGCTTTTGGTTGACCAGTACACCAAGACAGTGACATTCCCATCCTGGGCTCACACCTCCCCATCCAGAAACATTCACTGCAGTCCTGTTCTCTTCTACACTGCCAGTAATATGAACATTTCTGGAAACATGACCCTGATATTGAAGGAGTTCCGTAACCTGACCCCTAACTATATTTCTGACCTCCAGTCTCTTGTATTCATTTCTAATTGTCTTTGTCTAGTTGGGCTGTTATCACAGAACACCAGACCCTGGATGGCTTTTAAAAACAACAGACAGGGGCGCCTGGGTGGCTCAGTCGTTAAGCCTCTGCCTTTGGCTCAGGTTATGATCCCAGGGTCCTGGGATGGAGCCCCGCATTGGGCTCCCTCCTCAGTGGGGAGTCTGCTTCTCCCTCCCCCACTCCCCCTGCTTGTGTTTCCGCTCTTGATGTCTCTCTCTCTCTGTCAAATAAAGAAATAAAATCTTAAAAAAAAAATAAAAACAACAGACATTTATTCCTCATACTTCTGGAGGTTTTAAGTCCAAGATCAAGGTGTTGGCAAATTAAATGTCAAATGAAGGACTGTGTCTTGGTTCATAGATGGTAAACAACCATTTCCTATGTCCTCATGTGGCAGAAGGGCCACAGTAGCTCTTTAGGGTCTCTGTTATAAGGGCATTAATCTCATTCATGAGGCCTCCCCCTCATGCCCTAATTACCTCCCAAAGGGCTCACCTTCAAATAGTGTTACATTGTGTTAGGATTTCAACATATGCATTTGGGAGAGGGGTCATTGTCTACAGCCCTATTTATTATTTAGTTGAATGGATCTGTGGGTTATTCCTTGATCTGATCTTATAAGAGAATATGTTTATCATCTCTACTTCCTCATCCTTCCCTCTGCTCTCCTAAATGATACCCTACTTCCAAAACCCACTTCGCATTATACCTATTTTGGAAAATTCTCCCTGTGCATACCACATTAAAAAAAAAAAAAAAACCTGCAAAGTTTCAT